CAGACAGTGTCAATTATAGTACAAAACTGTCAGGTATTTATAGTTTTTAGTAAAAACGAAATTATCATTACAGTCCTCTAATCCGCATACAGGGGGTTATTAGCATTGTCCAATCGGGAGGCTACACGTAAGAATTCTAGAATATTCTTCCAAAAGGTGATTGAATGGAATATCTTCGGCTCATTCTGAGCCTCCTACAGCTTCCTCGAGTTCACCCGTGGTCCGTCGTCATAATGATCATGGAACTGTAAATTGTCTAGGCACATTTTTGGCAACTAAAAGTGATATATATATTGGTCAATATATTTTTTTAATTAAAAATCATTAGACCGATTATGCCATCCAGTGCTTCCAGCTTTTCAATGGGCTGGTCTAATATTGCTCGTCTGCTCTATTTTGTTTTAACCTTATTCAAGAAATTTTCTTATCAATTTCAATGATTTAGTATAAAAGCAACAGTCTATAATTTATGTTTATGTCACAAAATAATAACTAACGGATTAAGGTCAGTATATATAGTTTAAATAATCTACACAAACATACGTTGTTACCTTTCTCTTATCATTGTTTATTTCAAATATATATATTTCTTCACTAAACTCACAAAATTGTTGATGTTTTATGTTTTTATATAGTAATAATAATAATAATGATAATAATAATAATAATAATAATAATAATAATAATAATAATAATAATGAAACAAAACAAGCGGATAGTTTTTAGTTCTTGTGTAAATGTGATTTTGATTATGAATGGTATGTTGATAATAGTTTTCTGTAAATGATCGAAATTTATGAAAGTTTCTCTGCCAGTAGAATAATTTGAATATTTGTACAACTAATTTGTGAGCAAAGATGGAGAGTGGCTATCACGACTCAGTAGCTATAAGTGAATAACGCGATGGCATTCGAAGTAAACGGTACTGGGTTCAAGTCCCAGAGTGGACATCAACCCTGAGATGCAGGTGTATCCAGCTAACGAGTCCGGAATAAAACGGAATGCGAATCCTGGATTCCACTGCTAGCCACCATCCATCGTTGTATATATCTCACTTATTTTACTAAAATCAAACTTATACTAATCTTTATTATTACATGTTTACGTAATCAATTTTTGTTGTTGTTGTTGTTGTTGTTGTTGTTGTTGTTCACATGGTTTATACACTAATAGTTAATGAATGAGAACGTAGATTTTAAGTATTTCTTCACTCATTTTTAACAACATTTTTACTGTTTGACTACCCATTGTGTAATTATCATAATTATCAAATAATTAAAGAAGAAAAAAAAACGTCATAAATATGTACCATATGACTATTGTTACCTTTTTTTATTTTTAATTTTTAATACTGTACCAATTATTGTTTACTTAAAACAGAATGGTATATATATATATCATGTAATAATAAATCTAATTATAAAAATACATTCAAGGTGTTTATCTCATTGAACGTCATTAAATTACTTTACAAGATGAATCAATTTTCTATTGTTAAAAATTGAGGAAATATTAAATATTTTAATAGATATTGTACACAAAAAAAACAACATTTAAACAAGTGAATGTACACGGGTATACAAATTGTATTATTGATAGTGTGTAACTAAGGTAACTAATGAACACAAGTTGAAAATATTATCATATATATGTTTGATAAAGTTTTGTTCTCTGAGCTGAACGGTCTATTTGTGGAGCTTTCATCGTTCTTCTGACTCTGAATTCAAATTCAAATCGCTTGATATCTTTCTTTCTACGAACTAATTCTTTCTTATTATGTCCTTATATGTAATCTTTCTTTTATATATTACTATCGTTGAAGAAATAACTACTTCTATGAATCCGGTGTTCATCTTGTTGTGTTAATGAGGTATAGTAGCAATTTGGACCGATGCACATATATGCCTGATTCTACGTTGTAGCTGATTGACTGACTGACTAACTCAACGATATCATCAGCACAAACTTCACTTATACTTCAAGTTTATGCTGCTGATGATGTCGTTCAGAAGAACAATGAAAGCTCCATGACCAAATCATTCAGTTCAGAGAACAAAACTCCATCAAAATCATCCACTTGAGCTACAAATCTTCTTCAACATGTCATATTATCACTTATTCACGATCTAAATGATCGATTTAGGATCATTTATTTTAAATAATTTTCTATGATCTGTAAGTGATAGAATCATTTATAAAAGTTTATCCAATGGATAACTGAGTTACATATCATAGTTATGACTGATTAAATTATCACTCACAAGTTTAAATAAGTATTCTACACATTTTGTTATCCAAAATTATTAATTTAATTAATCTCTTGGAAATCATTACTCTTAAAGGAGTAGTGAATTACAATAGAACAGTTATCCATTACATTTTTATTTTCAAAGAATCATGTCAAAGTACTTATTACTTTACAAGAAGGTAATTTGTTAACACTTCATTAACTGGGTTTATCGTCGACATTTTCAGTGTTTATTGTGTTCCTATTCAGAACTTTCAATCATTCTTTTCATTTTGTGTTTTAGTATTGTCTTTTAGAATGTAATTTTTATGAAAGATTTCATTTGTAAGCCTATTTTTTTACCATATAACTGTCTTCAATTCAGACTATGCTATATCAGACAAGTTCATGTTAAAAGATCACAAATAACTCTATCTGCTTGAAATAAAATCGTTTGTAAAAATAATTAGACTCTTATATGCAACACTTATCCATTAAATGACTGAAAATTTTGCTAATGATTCGATTGGGCGAACATTCAATACGTTGCTACAATCTAACTCTCAACCACCATGTCGGTTTGCCTTATCTTTCCCCCCTCATAATATTATCATACAAAGCACAGGATATGAAACCGAATGCATGAATTTGTACTTGGTAATATCTATATACATTATTGCATAATGGTTCAGTTGTATAATGAACACAGGATCTTTTAATCATGAAGTTTTTTAAAAGGAAATTGAAAATAATGAGGAACTTTTTTGACAATGTCGTTGTTCAGTTGTCTTAAATATTACTCCAACGACACAGTGGGTCAGTTTCACTACAAGAAATGTTTTAATTAAGATGATATTCGCTGTTTACTTTAATCTCCATTCGTTTATAACTTATGTTAATCTGAGACTCGTTATTAGATAATATCAAATTTAAAAAATGATGTACCTTCCTTACATTGTACTATCGTAAGTTGGATGTACATACTTATGTGTGACTAATAGTTTGAAATTTGAAATGTTCACACTTATAGTTTGCAACAAACCTTTTTTAGTACCGATATTTATTATAGTTTAATCTAGTCCGTTATGATAATTATCAATGTCAGTAAATGAATATACTATTCGTGACCATTTCATTTGATCTCATATTTATTGAAACCACTTATTCAATAGTTGTAGCTTGAATATTTAATGACATCGTGAACAGCATAAGATGAGGCTTGATTATCAACATTAATCAACACTAAGGATAAATAGTAAAATAAAATCAACGAATTTATGAATGGAGAAATAAACTAAATAGATACATTGTCATTCGGTTTATCTAATTTCACTATAGTAATAGCTAGTTAACTAATTAGAGTTAAGCAGAATGTTACTGTTAATAAATGCTCTGCTTTCCAAAGAAAATCGATCAGAATCACTTGGGAAAAAATGCTTTTACAAGTCGAAATTTTATATTGAGTGCGTAAAAACCTTTAATGTAGTTAGTGGAAATGTATACACTTAGTAATTAAACTACAATGATATATGAAATTCCTATATGAATAATCTTCTGTGTTAGATCGAAGAAGGCAATACATTTTCTAATGTTATCTGTTTTCTCAATTCCTGAAGGGTTAGTTAGAGACTAATTAAGCATCGTATATATATTTGTGTTACTAGTTATTGCATTACTTAATCGGTGAGTTGAACACCATGGCAACACTGTGGTGTACCTACTTACTTACTTACGCCTGCTAGTCCTCGTGGTGGAGCATAGGCCTCCCACTAGCGCTCTCCATCCAATACTGTGTTGGGCAGTCCTTTCTAGCTCCTTCCAGTTGTTATTCATCCTTTTCACATCTGACTCTATTTCCAAACGTAACGTGTCGTTTTGCCTTCCTCTTTTCCACTTCTCTTCAGGATTCCGAGTTAGGGCTTGCCTCGTAATGCAGTTTGATGATTTGCGTAATGTGTGTCCTATCCATTCCAATCGTATTTTCCTAATTTTCTTCTTCAGCTGGAAGCTGATTTGTTCTCTCCCACAGTAGGCTGTTGCTGATGGTATCTGGTCAATGGATGTTGAGTATCTTGCGTAGACAACTATTCATAAATACTTGTACCTTTTTAATGATGTTTGTAGTAGTTCTCCAAGTTTCATCTCCGTACACTGTGGTGTACAGTGGTCTCATAATAATCAAATCTTTTATCTCTAATTAGAATTATCGTTTATTCAAATACATAACTATGTAATTTCATAAAATTTTGTCTAAAAAAGTCTATTTTTTTCAGTTGTTCTCTTAGACATCAGAGTACTCTTCTGTTAAAGTAAACACTTGATTTGAAAATATTATTGACACAATATACAATTGAAAGTAATTTCATGTGATATAATCGTTAAGACTATAATTTATGGACGACATTTGAGCGACGCTGAAGTAACCTTAAGAGTGAACACCTACTGATTTGGATTAAATGAGGGTTAGAAAGCAGTTAGAATTCTCATTTACAGTTGATAATTAGGGTTAGGAATTAGATTTAAGGTTTTCATCACGAACTAACATCAGTTATAATGCCAAAACTCTATTTAATCAAATGAATTTCGCGCCAAAAAACCCCAGACTCGTTATCTTATATCTGATTGGTTCATTCATAAATTATAGTCTCGTCAATATAATATTTAGAATTTGCTATCTCCAACAGTAATATGATTTTTGCTTCTCAATTCTGTTTTTTTTTAAATGTTACATACACATTGTACAGTTATTTATTGTGCTTAAATTTGCTTACAGATCACCGACAACTAGAGAAAATACATTGGATTCGTTTCGAACGGCTGTCCAACATGTAATTTTTCTCTTTGATTACTTTAGTCTTATTTACTTTGTTTATAGTTTTGTTTTATATTTCACTTTTGAATTGTGTTTTTTTCTCTGGTTTCCCACTTAGTTGAAATGAAATAACTGTTTTTGTATGGAAACTATTTTAAATAAGATAGTTTGATGAAACTATTTCTGGTGGTAGTTAATAGCATTTCACAGACTGATATCGAATAAAGAATGAAGAATCGTTTCTTTATTGTTTATTGACAGTCTTCTGTACTGATCCTCGTCGATCTTTCCCCTCCTCTCAAAAATGATATATTACGTTAAAGTGACATTTCTGGTGTTATTCAAAGAATGATATATCTCTACCAGCGAATTGGATCACAACTATTCTTTTTTTCAAATTTTCTCAATACAATACAGTATGGTATAATTTGATCACTTGCTATCAAAGTTCACACGGATTGGTGTAAAATGTGATCATTAGCTTCCGAATACCCTGGTACAGTCGAGAGTTATGAGAGTCAGCTCTCCCTCTCCAATCGCTCTCACATGGCCACGTCTATACAACCACTGCCAGGGAAGTCCTACTCACTGCATTCTCGCGGCATTACTGTTGTTTACGAAATTCAGAGGACGAAAAGTGAATGTCCGGCTCTTTAACCTGGTTGGTGGACATGGAGAGTCCAATTAAAAGAGTTGGAAAACTCTGATTCCAAACTAATGGTGAACATGGGCTCCAGTTTCCTGAAAGAAAAAATGGCATACAAAGCAATCGTTGATCACCAGCTATCATGTGACTGCATCTCCTTACGTTGCTCCACTACCTTGTGGATTGAACCTTTAGGTCAAAGGCTCTGAATGTGGCTCCCTAAGTAAACCATCTGCTTTATTTTTGGCACGCGAACAATATCCCATCCTCCACATAAACCGAATGATTTATGTGGCGCATATCTATTTGGTGCCTCCTTGTACCAATGCTTATATATTTAAATAATAAATATAAAATGTGATCAGTCTCATATACCTCAGTGAAAAAAGAAGAATACTACTTGTGTTTATTTAATTACAATGCATAACAGTTTTCGAATGTTTTTATTTTTGTAATTTTAATGTGAATATTTAAAATACACATAATTTCATTACATTTCCTCTTTGATTCCTTTTTATAAAATCCCTTTCATATTCTTATTAACGATACCTATTTCTATATTTTCGATCATTTTGATGTTTGATTATATTTCCTTGAAAAAGCTTAGACCAGATTACCAAGCGAAACGTTGAGGTTTTACAAATACATTCTTCCTATTTATTGTCTCACATCAATTTCGCGCCCAAATACTATGAAACAACTATTCGATCAAATTTAGACGAACTTTCTTATTGACTATACCGATTTCCTGTTTCAAATGTCTAATTAATAAAAAAAAATGGATTGATCGATTACTTTACATTCAACGATTCAACATAAGAAAATCAAGTCTATATAATTTTCAGAAGGGGTTTTTATAGAGAATTTGGAAATTTCAATGGTTGAAATCATGAGCTAACTGAAGCTAGACTACCATGAGAAGTCTGGAAGTACTAGACGGCCGTTTCGTCCGGCTCAGTGGTCTAATGGTTAAGCGCTCGCGCGCGAGACTGATACGTCCTAGGTTCAAATATCGCGGTTGATGAGATCATGGATGCGCACTGCTGAGGAGTCCCACAATAAGACGAAAAGGCCATCCAGTGCTTCCAGGTTTTCCATGGTGATCTAGCTTCAATTGACTCATGATTTCAGCTATTGAAATTACTAAAATCGCCACAAAACCCCTTGTGAATATCATTTCAATGAACTATTTTCATTTTGCCATTCTTTTTTTTTACATTAATGAATAATTTGATTGATTATTGGAAATGTTGATTTCCATTTTCTGCTCTAGCCAATTTCTTTTTTTCTTTAGACATTCTTTGTTCAATGTGTATGTGTTTGCATGATTTGTAATTACGAGATGTACATTCATCAATCTCCCTTGTGTGTGTGTGTGCTGTTTCATATCCTAGGGAACTTCTGTTATTGATCAGTTCTTAACCTGCTCTATTTCTTATTGATATGTCTGAATGTTTTTTTATTCCTCACCTCATTTAATTGTTATTGTTTTTTTCTCTATCTCTCGTACCATTTCTGCTCACTCTCTCGCCCATCATACTATATTGGACATGAAAATATAAAATCGTTATTATCAAGGGAGCTGATTTTGTTGAAATGGATGTCCAACTAACTAAAGATCATCATGTTGTTGTTTATCATGATTTTGATGCTGTAGTCATATCAAAAAAGGTGAGTATTATTTTTCAATAGTTATACAGGTTTGAGGCTGTTACCTAATAATAATGGTATTAGATGAAGGTTACACAAAATCAGGAAGTGATTCAAGTTAAACATGTAAACTACTGGATTACGATTTAGCGATTTAAAGATTAAGCGCTCACCATGAGACTTGAAACGTTTTGGGTACAATTCTAGGTCGATCTATACTAAAAAGGATTCGACACACAATTTTGGTCAGCACTCGGTAATCAATCAATTGTAAATACATCTCACTCCTACTGTTCAGTCACTGGTCGGATAGTTCAGTGGTAATGTTTCTGATTATGAAGCTGGGTGACACGAGATCGAATCCATCAGGTGTTGGGGTTGTTAGATCCCCAAAACTCACTTGGTAAATGCCTTATTATTATAATTCTGACATGACAGGATAAAAAGTCAAAATTAGATTGATTTACTCATTATAATTTTTGTTCAATATTAATTCCGTTTTAATTCAATGTGATGCCCACTCAGTATAGTATATGTTTCTGTTTCTCAGAGTGACATACGATATTCTTGTATTAAGCTAACGTGCTCAGTGTGTGGTTTGTTATAACTAAGTATTTTTGATATATGTGATTTTATCCTAATTAATAATGAAAAATGGGTGTATGAATCAATATATAAACGAGTGTATTTCCAACTGGACTTGTCGTGGTTGTTCATACTTCTTGCTGCTTGTGGAATATGTTTCCCACTTCCGAACTTGGACTTCTCTGTCTAGTTAACGGGGCTGGGACGCGTTGGGTCACAGATTCTTCGCTCCGTTCATAGATTTAGTGAACTGCTCAAACATAGCACCAGGGAACGTCCGTTCCCTCAGGATTACAGGTACACCCTATTGACTAATGACAAACGACGCGAAACCTGGGTCCAGGGTTTACTATCGAATACTTCAAACAACCACATTATATTGCAACATAGTGCATGTAATGTCAAGTAAAATTGCACCTTGATCTATAGAACTCGATCTGCATTAAGAAGGATGTGACACATATGACATTGGTCACTAAGCAATGATCAATAAACTGTCAAATTAAGAATATCAAAATGTAAAATGCAAGAAAATAAGCTTTTTTTAATGATTATTAAAGTGCACTATTAGAAATCCTCAAATATTCAATTGTTTTGCTAAGATTACATTATGATTCCTTATCTTTTTGTGAGAGATATTAATGGTTTATCCACCACTGCTTCTCGTTTCATTTGTTATACACAAGCTTCATTCACAGATCACTTCTAATAAAAAAAGATGATATATTATGAAGTAACTAATGGTTGATTTTTAGAACAGGATCTAATACGTTTCTCCTCTTATATATGATTCTTATAAACAGATACCTTTATTTTTCCATCAATTTCATCATGTTGACAATATTTCGGATAATTTGTAGCAGCTACATTTTACTGAAGAGTTCACGATATTATAAAAAACACTCAGTCTATATTCCACTCTTAATTACTACCATAAACGTATTCAAACTTCAAATATCTATGCTTTATCATGTTCTCCTTTTGTGAATGTCTTGTCCTGACCGTAGCTTCTATCGTGACGCGGTGGTCAGGCTTGTCTATCGTGATGATCCAACCGAGCTATATTGGCTGGAACATATGTTCATGTAGGTTCTACCATGCCAGGCAGGTCGATTGGAGTACTGTAAGATTAAAAGCAACAACTCAAGGTCTGAGGGTGAAGTCGTACTGCTAACTGTAGAGGGGTGTGACAGCAGTAAGGTATTCCCCTCGGATAACCAGCAACTGCAGCGTTGTTGCCTTCTCACAAGGAAGGTAGGGGTTTGAAAAGGTCGACCCTAAAAGTGTCACACCTCACCTTACCTCACGGACTTCCGTCTCCGGGGGTAAGTCATTTTGAAGGACGGAGCTAACACATTAAAAGTCTCCCACGAAAAAGCCTCGCGCGACCGGCCTCAAGCGGTTGTCCCTTGGGCACTGCGGTCACGCTCTCAGGTCGTTAAGACAAAGGCTAATCCAATTTCCTTTTCAGGTTCCTCAAGAAATACCCTTCGTTGGTGTGGGCAGCCGGGGAGTGACATCAGCCCTCATACCCGTAACAGCACACGAGACCAAGTTGGTCACATTCAAATCCTTCCTGCAATTCCTAATACCTCTCTTATCTCTACGAATAACCCTCCTCACGTCCCTTTATTACCTTGCACCGCTAGGGCAAACGATTCGAGTACGCGGAACGTTATTCCCAGTCTCCACTCTCTAGGCTAAATGTAGGATCGATGACATCTAATGTCAACACCATGTTGGTAATGCAGAGGTTCGGCTTCGCGTGTTCGGGCCCAGAGACGATAATTCAGTTGATGTCACTATCCTGAGACATCGACTTCGGTGGCTTGGACGTGTTCTACGAATGTCGTCCCAGAGACTTCCATGTCGTGCATTATTTGCCGACGCTGGGACTGGTTAGAAAAAGCTGAGAGGTGGTTAGTGTATGACATGGTGTCGTGGTATGAAGGAAAGCTGCAAAGGACTGGCTTCTGTTGGTATCGTGGCTCAAAGAACAAATAATGGCGACCGTCTGTTACTGCTATGCTCAGATAACCGCCTGTTTCTTGCATAAACCAAATTCAAGCATAAGGAAAAACATCTTTTGACGTGGCGACCCCCTAATTCGTCCCAACGTTGGACCCAAATAGATCACATCGCTATCAGCCACCAATGGAGGGGCTCGATAGAAGACTGTCGCTCATTCTGGAGCACATGCTTAGATTCAGATCATGCTCTAGTACGAGCGCGTATTTGCTTGCGTCTTACTGGACGTAGGAAAGACTCTGCAAGGAAACCTCTTAGGCTCCTACTTAATGATAGTCAAGCTAAGAGTATATTTCAGGAACAACTAGAAAAACAGTTAGGGACCAATTCATGTGATGCCTACCCTGAGGCAGCATGGAATGTTATTTGAAAAGTTGTGATATCTGCTAGTAAGGTAAACCACAAGGTTAGGAAGAAACAAGGGATCTCAACAGCATCTACTGCACTTATAGATGCTCGAAAACTGATTTCATCTGGATCTGAACATAATGAAGAGCGGAGTCAGCTTAAGCACAATCTGACAAGAAGCTTACGCAATGATCGTGAACAGTGGTGGGTAGCGACAGAAAGAGAGATAGTAAAGGCAGTGGCAATAGGTAACACCAGACAATTGTTCAGAATTGTTAAGGAAACCGGTATTGGGAACCCGACTGTTAGCGAAACAATCTCAAAGAAAGATGGACATATTATACATTCTCAATCCAGGAGATTGGATCGATGGGCAGAACACTTCAGGGATCAGTTCAACTGGCCTTCAGCCACACTTCTGTTTGCCACGATCTCCAGTCAACCTGAATGGCAAGTTAATGTAGGTCCTCCGACTCTTTACGAAGTTGAAAAAGCCATAGGAAATCTGAAGTGAAAGAGAGCATCAGGCCCTGACAGGTTTACTCCTGAGACTTTTAAAGATAGCCGTTCATTCTTTTTGTTCTCCCAAATTTTGATCTACTGAATTTTTCATGTCCCTTTCTATTGTTTCTCTTTCCAAGTTTATTTCAGTGGATATTACTCCTTAAATAACATCTTCAAACACTAATCTTTCCAATTACTGCTTATACTTTTACTACCTCTACCACTATGGGATTTGAATCGACAACTGCATCTCTGTGCTAATGTGGTGTGGCGACTCGAACTGATGTACGTACTTACGGAGGTCTATGTTGTTGCCAACTTACTGAATATCTTGTCAATTCCTTTTGTGAAGCTATTTTTTTCTTACTGAATATATATATATATATATATATATATATATATATATATATATATATATCAGCCAACCAATCTATTTAACACGGTGAAATAGGTTGTCAAGTTTGCGTCTATGTGATTTTTCTTTAATGATATTAAGCTAGATCAAATTAATTTATAAGTGATTGCTCAAATCATGAATCTTTCATACTTTATGTGTCACAAATAAAACAAAACTATTATTATTATTACTATTATTACGGCTATTACTATTATTGCTGTCACTATTATTATTATTATTATTATTATTATTATTATTATTATTATTATTACTGTTATTATTATAATATTATTGAATAGATTTTCTTTTTACAAAACTGATCAATAAAATCGGGTTTGTTACATGACCATTATCATAATCATAATCATAATGAATGATTTAGACAATGTGAACAATTTTCATATTGTATGATTTATATATATAAATGTATATATATATAGGTGACATAATAATAGACATTAAAAGTACATTGATTTATGGTAACACTTAATATTTTATTATATAAAATCATTCATTTGTTATTAAACTTATGATATTTGTAACTTATGAATTAAATCATTTGATTATTAATTTATTTTTTTAAATTTTAAGTTCGAGTTTCGTCTCATTTGATATTGCTTCATCAATTGACTGAAAAATATGAATTAATATTACATTATAATTTGATTTAATAGTTGAACAGACTAGTTTGTAGAGCATAAAATTCTTTAACTGTTATTCTTTTTTTATATAGTGAAAATTCCCATTTTGACATTTGATGAATATAGAAGGAAGGAATCAAGCGAAGAAACTTCATTTCAATTACTTTTTCATCATGGCTCTACATTAATATTTATGTCTATATGATATACAATAATGAAATAATACTCATCGAGTGGATACGTTACGTAATAATTATATAATGACATATCGATTATAGACTAACATTGAGTAATTGGAAGGAAGAGGAAATAATAATAATCAATCATCACGCTAGACCGATAAGTCCTGGGTTCGAATCCCGCAAGGTAGATCGTGAGTGTACACTGATGAGGAGTTTCATACTAAGACGAAACGGCTGTTCAGCGCTCTTTGGTTTTCCATGGTGGTCTAGGTTCAATCAACTGATGAATTCAACTATTAAATAATCAAAGTAATTATTCGAAGATCAAACAGTTGCTACGTTGCATGATATAAAAAGAAAAGAACGAACTAATAAAATATTTTGATGAATAATCAATAGTATAGTAGTTATGTAAAAATCAAGGGATGAATGTTGACAATAAGTAAAATATAAAAGAAATCCGAAGATAGTTTATCAAAGTTCTGCTTTAAAATCTGCTATACCGATAGCCAAGGTAGCAAGAGCGGTTGTACAAACTTCGTTTGGATGCAAAGGTTCCGTTTGTGAACACGGATTGAAATGAATTCGGCTATGTGCACAAGATGAACAAGTAAACTATGTGGCAAATTTAATGGAATATGGTGGATAACCTCAAAAGTTTTATTTAATTCCACTATATGACCTGTGCTCACCAAGTGAACGAGAAAATAGCTTTTCATCACTCTTACCTGTCCTTCGCTCAACCACAACGGATTGTGTTCTGTTATACGATAACGAAGCATTCATCAAAATATTTTATTATTTTCTTCTCTTTTTTCTATATATTATGCAACGTAGTAACTGCTCCAATCACTCAATGTTAGTTTATAATTGACATGCCATTATATAATTATTACGTAACGTATCTTTAATATTATTTACGCCTGTTACTCCCAATGGAGCATAGGCTGACCAACATTCTTCAACCAACTCTGTCTTGGGCCTTCCTTTCCAGTTCTATGCAATTGTTCTTCATTCTTCTCATGTCTGTCTCCATCTCTCGGTGTATTGTGTTCTTTGGTCTTCCTCTCCTTCTTTGGCCTTGGGGACTTGCCTTGTGACGCAGTTGTGTGCTTTGCTTAATGTGTGTCTTATCCACTTCCATCACTTCCTGATTTCTTTCTCCATTGGGATTTGGTTTGTTTTCTCCCACACGAGGTTGTTGCTGATAGTGTCTGGTCAACGGGTTCGAAATATTTTGCGTATGCAGTTGTTAATAAACACGTTTATCTTCTGGATGATGGAATTCGTAGTTCTCCAGGTTTCGCAACTTACAGTAGAACTGTCTTGACATTTGTATTGAAAATTCTGACCTTGGTGTTGTTTGACAGACAGTTGTTTTGAGTTCCAGATATTCTTCGGTTGTTAATTTGCTACCTTTGTTTTGCCGGTCTGCACCTTTACGTTTGCATCAGATCCACCTTGTTCATCAATGATGCTGCCCAGATATGTACGTAACGTATTTACTCGATGAGTATTATTTCATTATTTTAAATCGTATAGATATAGATATTAGTGTAGAGCTATGATGAAAAACTAGTTGGAAAGAAATTTCTTCACTCGATTCGTTCCTTCTTTAGTTTGTTTTATTTATATTTTGTTTTTGGTTTGTTAAATACTTTATTCATTATGATTGAGATAACGGTGAAAGTGTAAACATTCTCAATTGACAATCTTAGAAGTTTCTGTGATATTATACTGGGCACCAAATAATTAAATCAATAGTACATTAGATTAACAACTTCAAAATATAAATCATAACTCTCAGTCATATGATGTACTGTCAAATAAATATCTAACAACTGTTTGAAAAGAAAAAGAACCCAATTGAGATTAGAATCAAAGTATAATATGAAAAATATAAAAGTTTACAGAAATGTATGTTACATTACATTTAAATAATTCCAATTAAATACATTAAAATTAATTATTACGATTTAACATTTTGATAATTATCGTTTAATATCAGAAGTGGTTTTGTGGATATTATAGTAATGTCAATAGTCGAAATCATTAGTCAATTGAAGCTAGATCACCATGGAAAACCTGGAAGCACTAAACGGCCGTTTCGTCCTATTGTGGGATTACTCCTCAGCAGTGCGCACCCACGATCCCGCCCCCTGCGATACTCGAACTTAGGACGTATCAGTCTCGCGCTCGAGCGCTTAACCACTAGACCACTGAACTGGCTTCCAATGATTTTAATTATCGTTTAGCTAATGATATTCAATAATTTTCAATTATTATTTACTATGTTGTACCAAATTAGAAATATTTATATGTGTATCTGCTGTATATACAATATATTCGAGTGAATGTAATTGTTTCTTTGCCTACTGTTAGTATAAAGTCACTGGAATGCTTTTATTTGAGATCTATAGAATGTATGAAATGAATATTATGCATATATAGTTTATTTAGGAAGTAAGAGACTTGTAATCCTATCCTATCTCAGTTTCTATTGCACATAATGTATGCAAAACACCCTATATGCAATCTGTTCATCTGTATTGTCATCTATGTTTACGTCTAAATTTGCTAACATCAAATGTTTCTCTGAAAGCATATCTCTAGTGTCGTCAGCTATGTTAAGCCCACATAGCTTATTCTGGCTTCAGGACAAGCCAGTTTATTCATTCTCCTTGGGTTACATTTTGACCATGTTAATTATTCGCTTACCAACCTTGTCCGTTTTTATTTGAACGTGTGTCTTCACTTCTTAACCTATTCATCAGTTAGGAGAGGCCAAACCAAAGCGTAGCATCAATCCTTAAAGTCACTAACTTCTAGTTTTAGCCATGTTGGTAAATGCAGACTACTTAGTTGGGGTCCGCGTGACTATCTTTCTTTCTTCCTGTACTATATCCTTATACCCAATCTTTCATTTATATATTACTACAAATGAAGTAACTACTTCTATGAATTCGGTGTTCATCTTGTTGTGCTAATAAGGTATGGTAACTTGGACCGATGCACATATGTGCCTGGTCCTACGTTGTAAATGACTGACTGATCTTATTTATCACATGTCTGTAACTTATTTTTATCTAATTATCAATATCGATTAACGCTTGATTATAATATCAAGTTGGCTCACATGCCTTCTCCACTGTGAGGCATTTTATTTCGCTTCGATTTCTGATCAACGGTTGTATGAAACATACGTATTTAAAAATCCATTCTTCTATTTGATTTATTTAATTTCGTTATTCACAAAAACCATTTAACTGGATGATTACATATGAGGATTGGCGACATATATACTTGAATAACAATCAAACAATTGTTTGAGATTCATCTAGTTACCAACTATTCTGACATTCAATCAGTGATTGAATATCACAAGACAGACAGTATACATTCAGTCCTCTTTTTTACCAAAACAATCATTATAATCTTTCATCATTCGTACGAATCTTTACAATCCAAATTCTAAAATACTTGATCTCTTCAAAGAGAGTTGCTTATTTCGTTGCCTTATTCTTTACAAACTCTTATCACAATTTTATAAATTTGTTGTCACTTCCTTAATTCACTTATTCACTGGACACACTACATGTACATAATTCCTAAATATGTTTTAAATCTATCATAGATTTTGTAACAAACAAACGCCAAGTTCAATGGTAGGAATGTTTTTGTTTTTTTAAACTTATACATACATTGATGTTAAGCATAAAAATGCTACATTTAGTTGAAATTCCACAACATAGATTACAGTATGAAAATTCCTTTATTATTATTTAACTATGTATAGACAAACACTTTCGGCTCCAGGGTTGAATATCATAATAAACTTCAGAAGTTTTATTCACATGATGAAACATTTATCTAAATATTATTGTTTTGAGTATTTTTCGAACATGATTAAATAGCGAATGCGAAATTGTGTGTGTGAGAGAGAGAAAAAAACAAAGGGATATGAAGAATTTAGAAGATTAGAATTTGGGAGAACATAAAGAGTGGATGAATCTATGCCATTCCAAATGATTTTGGGCGATGTCATTCAAGGTTTCTAACCATCGGTTGCTATCGTCTCGTGAATCCCAATCAGGTAGTCTACACCTACCAACATAGATCAGTCCAATTGTCATTGACTTGATGGATTTGTGCCACGTTTTGATCTGGTAGCTACAATTGTATATCTTCATTGATATGAGTAAAAAATATGTTGTAACATTTGAAAAGTTAAATCGAAATTAATCTGATTTATCAACTGATTGATAAAATCTTAAAGTCGAAAATTAGGTCAAACGAAAAGATTATGAAAATAAATATACATAGACAATAGCAAAATATGGATTAATAGGATTCTGTCAAATTTTTATGTTGATATAACAACTGATTAGTTGTATATGATGAAATTTGAAGTAGCTTATTTCTTTTCAAATGTTACGACATATCTTTTACTCATATCAATGCGGATATACAATTTTGGTTATCAGAATAAAACGTAGCAAAAATCTATGAAGTCACTAAAAAATGAACTAAGTCATGTTGGCAGTTGTAGACTATCTGGTTGGGATCCGTGAGATGATAACGACCGATGGTTAGAGACCTTGAATAACATGGCTCAAAATCGTTTGCAATGGCCTAGGTTAATCCACTCTTTATGTTCTTCCAAATTCTAATCTACTGAATTCTTCATATCCCTTTCTTTTGTTTCTCTTTCCGAAATTTATATCACTGTATTATACTCCTTGAATAACATCTTCAAACCCTATTGTTTACGATTACTGCTTATACTCTCACTGCCTATTCCACTACGGAATTTGAATCGACAACTGTATCTCTGTGTTAATGCGGTATAGTAACTCGATCTGATTTACGTACGTATGAAGTTCTATGTTGTTACTGACTGACTGACTGAAGGGAATAATATTAAAAATAAGCACTAATCTTAACCGATGAAACATTAAATACAATTACTTTACTATAACTAATCCTATTCATTTTTGTTGGTTATAGAAATTATAATTTATGTTTTTTTTAATTAAAAACTAATCTGTTTTATTTTTTTTAATTCGAGAAATTAAAAAAAACGAAAAAATTTTTTTTGTTTTTTCTTTCTTATTCAGAAAAGGGGTGGTCAATTATGTTATTTACGTGTAGCTATTAAAGATTTAAATTATAATGATCTACGTGAATTAAATGTTCGTCATTCAAGTGTTTTAAAAGAAAGTCATACTCATGAAAGTAAGTTATGATTGTTGCTAATATGATTTTTTGGGGGGTTGGGGGAGTGTAGTTAGTTATGAAATAAAAATAAAAAATTCAATAAAGAAGTTTTTTTTCTTTTTGTCCATGAAATTATTCATTTAAATGATTGTTTCAGCTTATTTATGACTTGTCAGTTAGATGTATTTGCATCTCTGAGTTGATGTGTCACTTTGGAATTTGAACCTTATATTGTTCACTTCAAACACCTACATGTTATCCACTTAACTACTGAGTACATTTTTTTGGAAATTCTATGTTTATAAAAGAATAGAAAAGATTATATCATAAAGTGAATCAAGATTTTATATGTCAAATAAGATTACATGATAATTAGAAAATTAGAAGGATTAAAATATTTTATAGGGTTAGAATTATGAAAAATAATTGTCTAATTGACATATATAAAAACAAACAGAATAAACATAAAAGCCATAATAATATAAACTGGAAATTAATTATAAAAAGTTGTTAACTTACTTACGTACCTACACCTGTTACTCCTCGTCGAAGAGCATAGGCTGCCCACCAGCACTTTCTATCCAACAGTGTGTTGGCCAATCCTTTCCAGATCTTTCCGGTTGTTATTCATCCTTTTCATATCTGATTCTATTTCCTGACGTAATGTGTTCTTTGGCCTTCCTCTCTTCCGTTTCCATTCAGGATTCCAGGTTAGGGCTTGCCTCGTAATGCAGTCTGATGATTTGCGTAATGTATATCCTATCCAACAACTCCATCGTCTTTACCTGATTTTTCTTTAACTGGAAGCTGGTTTGTTCTCTCCCCCAGAAGGCTGTTTCTGATGGTATCTGGTCAATGGGTGTTGAGTATTTTGCGTAGACAACTACTTCTAAATACTTGTACCTTTTTAATGATGTTTGTAGTAGTTCTCCAAGTTTCAGCTCCGTATAGTAGAACTGTCTGTGTTGACGTTCGTATTGAAGATTATGACTTTGATATTGATTGACAGACAGTTATTTTGAGTTCCATATGTTCTTCAATTGTAGGAAAAAAACTCCGCCTGTAGCTCTTCCAGAGTTACTGCTGGTCCCAAGCCCAGGTGAGGGTGGAGGGTTGGGCATGGGGTTAGCAACCCCATCCCGTAGAAAACTAACTAGGTTCAGCAGCGCATAAGCTTTTAATTCGGTTTACCTTCGATCCAGTTCCTTTGATTGTGTAAATTATTTTAAAGGAATACTCATTCGTAGCGACATGTCTTGAATTGATTAAATGCTTCTATATTAAACTTGTAACTGTCTTGCATTCTCTTTTTAAAAACCATGCCAGCTAGTATTCTGAGATGCGTTTAGAAAGTAATCGCTTGTGTGGGCATTGTAACCTACCCCACAGGAGCAAGTAAATTTGCAGATGCACATCGATTTGGATCAAAAAGGAAGTTTTGTTCTTAACACATACTTGAATGGTAGTTTGGCTTGAGAACGTAATATGAAGCTTAACTGAGTAAAAAGTTTAATTCATGGATTTTGAAATCCACTTACCCAAGATTTCGACAGCTGTATCTCCTTTGAATTCGATATTCATAAATAATATTTTCTTCGTTGAATCCCAATATAATTTTTTAAATAAGTGAAATTATCTACATCTTGCTTTTAATGATTAAACTAAACATGAACATCATTTTGCCTTAAGTGAAAGGCGAGTAACACAAAGATTTGTATATCTTTTTTATGTGATAATAACGGTAGAACAATAGTGAGATTATTCAGGATTCAAAGTATGGTACAAAGTAAATGAATCTGTAATAAAAGCTTGAATTTGAGAACACATTTAACAGTGAATAAAAAGACAACATACTTTAAATGCAAAGATGGATAGTAGCTAGCAGTGGAACCCAGTTTGATATGCGTTTCGTCCTGTTTGAGACTCATCAGATGGATATACTTGCACCTCAGAGTTGATGTTCCACCCTGTGGCTCGAACTCTGCAGTGCAGATACATCCAGCTAACGATTTTCAAATAGGACCAAACACGCATCTTGTATTCCACTGTCCATCTTTGCATATAATGCTTGCGAAATAAGGCAATATCGAGGCAATACACACAGTATGCACCTATTCCAATAAGAAACTGATAAATTATAGTCCTGAACTTGAATGGGAAGATTCAAACAAACAATATCAAGTGCATTTAACATAGTTTAAATTTTGAAACTCGAATGTCAGATTTATTTGAAACAAAGCGTATGAACAATAACAATACAACTGTGAAAAACAATCCATCAGGTAAACAGAGCAAACCATTAGTGGATTAAAGAGGTATTTTATTAATTCATATTTCCTATTTAAAGTATATGCTTACGATGTTGTCTAGAAGTATAATGAAAAATTCACGGCTAAATCAGTCCGTAATATATATTCTATAAACATAACCATATTTACAACCTTATATATACACATATATAGAGAGAGTATTTGGTTCAGTAAATACATTAATTGAAACCATGATGTATTATGCTGCAAAATTTACAGTACTTCATTTTTGTTTCCTTTAAAGTATTCTCTATTTTTGTCAGTAGACTTGTGCCATATGCGTCTTCGTTTTCCTTAAAACCATTTATATCTTCAAAATTTAAACACTTCATTTACCTCAACGATGACTGCCATGGATTTGCATCGTTCTTGTAGTTTTTATATATATATATATATATATATATATATATATATATATATATATATATATATATATATATATATATATATATCGACTGGTCAACTTATAAATATTCCGTTAGTAAAGTGTTTAGAATATATTTCGAGGAAATTTGACAATCGTTCGACTCTGAGTGTAATGCTTGTACCTCAATTCCTGATAAAATACGTTCTTTCTTTGGTTCCCGCTTTTTTATCTTCCCCTTTCCTTGTTTTATTACGATCTATAACAACCTAAACTGATGAACACTTATCCCGGGTATATATATATATATATATATATATATATATATATATATATATACCTATAACTTAATAGTGTAAAATAATATTTGTGTCATTGGAGATTGGTATCTTTAGCATTTAAACATATTAGTATTGAAGGTAATTAGTTATTTTACATTTTTTTAACTTGTGTCCTGTGTCCTAATAATGTAGAACGTGATGATACCGTCAATTAGAGAACAGTGAATTATCGATCGAACCAATGACGCATAAAACACGTGCGAACGGTTTAAAGTCCTTAAAGGTCCTGCTTCCTGCCCAGACCTGCCTGTCAACTTCTGAACACCAATCTCAGCCTGTGCGATATGAATCATGTATTTCAAATATTTTGGGTTTATATACAAACTAAACAGACCACATCGCATCAATAAAATAGGAAATAACATTTGTGCAATATTTAGCCAGTCAGTCAGTCAGCTACAACGTAGGACCAGGCGGATTATGTGCATCAGTCCAGGTTACCATACCTCATTAGCTCAGCAAGATGAACACCCGATTCATAGGAGTGGTTAGGTCAAAGGTGGTAATATATAGGAGAAAGATTGCAATAAGGATATAGTACAGGAAGAAAGAATTAGTTAGTAGAAAGAAAGATATGAAGTGATTTTAACCTCTTAGTTTAAGGGAAGACAGGGAGTGTATACACCGACGTCATTGTGATCGATTCTGTGTCATGTCACCCAGAGTCTCCAACCATTGGTTACGATAGTCACGCGGACCCCAACCAAGTAGTCTGCATCTACCAGCATGGCTCAGACTAGAAGTTAGTGACTTCGAGGAGCGATGCCACGTTTTGGTTTGGCCGCCCCTAACTTTCTTCCAACCATCTCCAACACCGGTTAGCATTGCACGACGTGGTAATCAGTGTTCGGGCATACGTAACACTTGGCCCAACCATCTCAGTCGATGAAGATTCACAACCTCATTAACTGGTTTACCATCATTCCCTAATACCCTGCGTCGAACCTCACTATTACTTACCCGATGATCCCAGAAGACGCCAGCAATATTTCTAAGGCATCTGTGGTCAAATACTAGTAGCTTACGAATGTCTTCTACTCTTAATGGCCATGTTTCGTGGCCGTAAAATAGAGCAGAACGAACTGCCGCGCAGTCTACTCGTCCTTTTATTGATAGATTTAGCCAAATGTGTCTGTGAATGAGGGAGATAGTGTTGGACAGACTGGGCATAACTCGAGAATGGCAAATCGTATAATAATAGTTCATAGGTCAAAATAAAGCTTATAATAAGTGGAACACAAATATGAATAGTATAGTTATTTAACAATTATACAATACAAAATATACGTATAGTATCAGTTTAGAAATAGATTCCAACAGTTAATATTCATTATTCTTATCAGGATATAATAGTTTATTAATCTGACAAATTATTGTATTACAATCTATTAAAAGAATCAATTAATGACATAAAGGTTCCAATCAAATGATTACTTAAACATTATGTCATCTATAAATGTGATCCCATTTAGAAGAAACATTTACTACTATTATTATTTCATCTCATTGTATTTTTTGTACTTTTAACTTATTTGCTATGAGGTCAGCCTAAATAATCAAGTTAACAAATCATAAATTTAATGGCATATAAAAAAAAGAAGAAATCGATCAGCTGATTCATTTTTTTTCAATGACGTTCATTTTTTTCTCTCTCTCTTTGTTTCGTTTTTTTTTAATCATAGAAATGAATGAAGAAGATTTAGATCCAATAGAATTACAACCATTTCCTTTATTACATTCATGTTTTGAAGAAATTGATCCAGATCTTGGTTTTGTCATTGAAGTGAAATATCCAATGGATCTTAAAGTAATAATAAATTAAAACAATAAATGATATTTTTTTGTGGAGATTTCTTCTATTAAAAATTCATTCCGGCGATTTGTTTTTCTCACATTATGATAAGATTTCCTTTTTTGTGAAGACACAGGTATTTACCTGAGTACAATGGAAGATGGTCGCGCAATTTCGTGGATTGGTTGATGTTAGACACTATCAGCATTGGATGCCGACTCATTGGTCCAGTAGGTTAAGCGTTCGCTCGTGAGACTGAAGGCCCTGGGTTCGAACCCGGCGAGCGGGATCGTGGATGTGCACTGCTGAGGAGTCCCCCAATAGGACGAAACGGCCGTCCATTGCTTCCAGGTTTTCAATGATGGTCTAAAATCAATCGGCTCATGATCTCAATCAAAAACTTAACGATCTCCACAACCCCTATAGTAGTATACATATTTTTTGTTATTGTAATGCCATTTATTGACATATCATATGTTTACTGTAATTAGATGTAGTGAAATTCTTTTGTGTTTAGTTTATATTATTATATAATTGAATATATATCAGTATACTATACTGTTAGGAGTATGCAACAGTACTTATTCTATTCGGTTAATAATATGCTAAACAGATTACAGGTACACCTTGATGATGAGTGCCAAATAGCATGAAACCCGAGTCCAGGGTTTCCTGTTGACTATCTTGAACTACCAGTTTGTCTTAATATAGTGCACGCAATGTTGAGTCACCTAGACTGGTGAGCACTATTACAACTTCGTCGATAGCATTCGATCTGCTTTAAGAAAGACTTGATACACATGACATTGATCACCACTTAGTGATCAATCAATTGTGATTATGCTAAACAGTATTTATCAATTAAAAAATTCAGTGTTTTAGCATTAATCGAGATATGTTTGATGTAGAATGAAGTAGATTTAAAGCTTTAGTAGATCTTTTTAGGTGTTTAGTTCGAAAAGCTAGATAATTTAAATGTAGTGCTTGTATTGTTGTCTTGGACAACATCATCAGCTTCAACTTCTGGTAGAAGTATGGGTTTACTTGATTACAATGTTTCATTATTTACATAACTATCAGTCTTATTATTCTGGATCCATCTATGAAAGACACTGTTCGGTACTTCAAAAGTTCAAAGTTATAGGATGTCAAATCTCCCCACGATCACTATCTTTAAATTTTACATGAATTTATAATTAGTCAATATTGTTCAGATCGTAACGTAGATTATTTCTTGCTTCACAGAAAGCAATATTTTGTAGCACTTATTATTTAAACATATAAATATTGGTACAAAGGGACACCAAACAGATATGCGCCTCATAAATCATATGATTTATGTGAGGTCTGGGATACTACCTGGGTGCCCAGACCGAAACAGTTGGTTTTCTTAGGAAACCACACCTGCAGCCTTCGACCTAAAGGTCTAATCCACAAGGCAGTGGAGCAACGTAAGGAGGAGATGAAGTTCCATGATAGCTGGTGGTCATCATTAGGTTCATACACCATTCGCTCCCTCATGATTCTTAAGTCCATGTACACCATTTGTTTGGAATCAGGGTTTTACATCTTCCTTAGGTGGATCCTCTATACCCACCAACTTGGTTAAAGCGTCGGTCATTCTTTTTTCGTCCTCTCGATTATGTAAACAACAGGCCCACTGTGAGAAAGTAGTTAGTAGGACTTCCTTGGTAGTAGTTGTATACTCGTTGCCATGTGAGAACATTCGAAGAGGGAGAGGTGACTCTCCCCACTCTTATCCTTACCAGGGCATTTGAGGGCTTTTTTTTCTGTAAATTGACAGATATCTTCATATATTCTTATCAAGTATCAATCTTATTTCTCAGATAGTTTATCATTGGAATATTATTATGTAAATATACCATTTTACTTGTCAATTCTGAAATTTTTTATTCAGCTTTGTTGTTTGTATCAACTTTTCTCTTATATCTCGAAAGCTCAGTAGTCACAAATATGAGCTCATCCATTGAATAACATTGATAATGATTGTTATAATACTCACTCTATTCAATATCAGATATTTGACTATAGTAAAAAACGATTCTCAGCTATTCATAGTCATTCATAAATGTTTTCTCTCATGACATCTCTTTCCATTAGTGAATATATATCTGATATGTGAATTTTTGTAGAAATTGGTTTCTATTTCTTCAATGGATGGCGGAAATAAGAAATATACGAACCATCATGCTGGTATCATTTGAATTTCCTAATAATTAGATTTGTCACTGGTTGAAATCATGGGTCGATTGAAGCTAAACCACCATGGAAAACCTGTAAGCACTGAATGACCGTTTCGTCCTATTACGGGACTACTCCTCAGCAGTGCACATCCACGATACCGCCCCCCCCGCGATATTCGAACTCAGGACCTATCAGTCTTGCGCCAGGCGCTTAACCAATTAGACCACTGATCCGGCATCCAACGGTGTTAATGTTTAACTTCAACCAATCCATGATTAGATTTGTGGTTAGTTTTAACTATTTAATGGAATACATAAATTAGCTGACGTAATAAAATGCACCTTTGACAGATTAATTGCTCAGAAATTTGTATGGGTCGCTGTCGTAACTTTTCTAAAGAATAGTTACATTACTATAATCTTGGGTTAAAAATTTTGTTACCTAAAACTTGGCACTTAAATCATTTTTTTAGATTTTACTTACTCATACAGTCTTATAGTTAGTGATAAACGATCAATCGGTAAATCCAGTTATACTGTCTAGTCTGGAATTTTTACTGAGGTCATACATTTTTGTCTACTACGTGATTGTTGATTATTATTATTATCTTAGAATAAGCGAATTTGTGTAGTTTAGAAAATCTTTATAGCTTTTAATCGCAAAATGATCTTGACTAGATTATTATTTAAAATCTGGAAGTATTGAACAATCTGTTCATCTTTAAACAGAAGTTTTCAGTAGTTCTCATTCATTACTCTAATTTTAAAGATCACTGAGCCAGTATTCAACGATGTTAATGTCTACAGTAGCAAACAGCAATTTGGAAGACTGTCTCGGTTTCCCACATTGTACAAGCATTCCATGTACCTAAATTAATGGTTGCTCTGGTTGTCAGAAGGAGCATCAACCTCGTGAATTCCGACGGAACTCATCATGAAGCGTCATAACTCTTCTAAATGAAAATCTTTTAACTTCGAGGGAAAAGTGTAAATTAATTTTTCTGGTTAGCGTTTTTTTAGCGAGTTAGTTTTCTACAGTATGGTGTCGCTAATCCCATCCCCAACCCTTCTCCTTTATTTAGGCTTTAGACCGGCAATAAAACCCCACAGGGTCTCTAGGCAGCGTTGATGTTAATGTCTAATTTCAATCAATTTATGATCATTATTTTAATAAAAAGATTTTCAAATTTATTTTTATCAAGCTATGGAGTTATATTTTTATGTTCAAATATTTTTTCATGTTATTACCCTGTTTATTATTATAAATGTCATTGTAGTAGTAAATAAATCCCCAAAATCAATAGCTCTGTAAGTTTTCGACATTGGATTCTGACCACATTAGTTTTAATGAACTCATCTAGCTGAAGGCTATCAGTCATGCATCCGCATTAGATCACGAGTGAAACCGCCGTGTTCAAGTTCTCCCATAAATTGCTAGCCAGTTTAGATCAGTCACTTGATAATCTATCAAATATATCTTCGAACCTACTCATTTCTGACTTTTGATTTCACTAGGTGGGCACAATTCATAATAGAAGATGTTACTGGTTAAAGCATTTTCAAATTCCAAATACTTTTGGCATTTTCATTATCATTACTATCAATGTGTAATTTCTATTTATTATAATTAGTTATGCAATCTTTTTTTTCATTATTATCATTGATTCATAAACTGGTTTAATCAGTTTAGTTGTGCTTTATTTTCTCCATATTAATATATTAATATTCGCTTATATTTATATGTTATTCTAATCTCTACATTTTATCCTATTATAAATAGTTTCATGTAACTATGACAACTAATGTCTAATATAATTAAGCATAATAAATTGTTTATATTGTTTTAATAAATTTTACAAGTTAACATTGATTAATCGATGATAACTTAATTCCTTTTGATGAATTGTTTTCATTTCAAGTGATAACATGACTTACTTACGCCTGTTACTCTCAATGGAGCATAGGCCGCCGACCAGCATTCTTCAACCCACTCTGTTCTGGGCCTTCCTTTCCAATTCTATCCAATTGTTCATTCTCATGTCTGTCTCCATTTCACGGCGTAATGTATCCCTTGGTCTTTCTCTTCTCCTTCGGCCTCGAGGATTCCATGTAAAAGTTTGCCTCGTGACGCACTTCTGTTCTTTCCTCAATGTGTATCCTATCCACTTCCAGCACTTCTTCCTGATTTTTTCCTCCGTTGGGATTTGGTTTTTTCTCTCCCACACTAGGTTGTTGCTGATAATGTCTGTCCAATGAATTCGAAGTATTTCGCGTATACAGTTGTTAATGAACACGTTTATGTTCTAGATGATGGTATTCGTAGTTCTCCAGGTTTCGCAACTTACAGTAGAACTGTCTTGACATTTGTATTGAAAATTCTGACCTTGGTGTTGTTTGACAGACAGTTGTTTTGAGTTCTAGATGTTCTTTAATTGTAAATATGCTACTCTTGCTTTGCCGATTTTCGCATTCACATCTGCATCAGATCCACCTTGTTCATCAATGATGTTGCCCAGATATGTAACGGTTTTTACATCTTCCAAATCTCCATCAAGTGTGATTCAATTGTTGCATACTGTGTTGTATCGAAGTGATAAGATGAAACATTATACAATTTTAGTTCCTTTTTTTCATGTAACCTGTTATTATTGAAGTGATTTCTGGTGTTGAATAGTTATTAAGAGGAGATTCTTACAATTAAGCTTTAGATTTATCAACATTCATTGGTAGCTTGTGTGTGTGTCTACTATTACTCTTTTCGAAGGTACTGATCAGTCAGTCAGTAACAACGTAGAACTTAGTACGTACGTACATCAGTTCGAGTTGCCATACCACATTAGCACAGAGATGCAGTGGTACTGATATTTTTCTATAAATGTTAACGTTATTCTTTACACCAGAGTTACAAACTGTTTTATAGCTGAATCGAATACAATGATCCATCATTGGGAAGTATCCAATGTTATGCATATGATTTTTTTTATTATGGTCATGGTTTATGTTGCTGATTCGAACTGTAAAACACTTGGGAGGAAATAGCAGTTGGCAACAGGTCTGATAAATACCTAGGTTGATAGACACTAAAAGTAATGAAGTCTATGTGAAATATATTTTGCTTTTGATTGGCTTCGGACCAATAATTAATGAGTTCGAACATTCTTACCTATCTAATTTGTTATAAATTAACGCAGGTGATAGTGCGACGTATGCTACTCATGTCGACAGACATAAGTAGTATATAATGCCAATCAGAAGTTGGATGCCTGTCAAAAGAATGTTTTCATAATTTGCCAAAGAATTCTGTAGTTGTGTGTTAGACAATATAAATTGGTTGTCCCCACCTGAGTGTTCGGTCACTATAATAGCAGCCACACTTAAGTAGTTATGTGAACCGAATTTGCCTAATGAATTTTGTTTTTAAGTTTGGTTAACTCATCTACCAGGTACTTGGGTGTGAGCCATATTCTTAATGATACAACCCGGTTGGCTAAACCAAAGTAGTTTAGATGGAGCTCGAACTTGAGACCTGTTGGTTGGAAATCGGACACCCTAATCACTAAGCCACTATTATCTAACTATTCAAATAGAGCGGTTATAGTTAAAATTGAATCCACTCTCATCCCACTTGGTTATTATTGAATCATATCGGTAACCTAATGATTCTTCATCTTTATTCTTTACTTTTTCTGTGTACGTAGGATGGCAGCTCAGAAATGGATCATTTCTTCGAGTACAACTTTTATGTCGATACTATCCTACGTGAAATCTTAACACATGCTGGTAAAAGACGTATTTTATTATCATGTTTCGATCCAAATGTCTGTGTAATGTAAGTTATTATATATATATTTTTTCACTTTATCCTTCATCGGTTAATTTTTAGCTTAATGCATAATCATTATGTATCATTCACTTAATCTTATTTAACTAACACATAATGTTAGTTATATGAGAACTTTTTATTTTCGTCTTCCCTACTCCACCTCATGAACTTGTAACCCTCATCATTTAACAGGCTTCAGTTAAAACAACAAATTTATCCAGTCTTTCAACTTGGAATATCCCCGGAATATGCAGATACACGACATGCTGACTTTCAAAGTTTATTTTGGTCTGCATTAAGTCATCAACTCTTGGTAAGTTATGGCATTTGATCATGTAATGATAACACATTTTCATCGAAATATTTCATTTACATCGGTATTTTTTGTTGAACAAATAATAGTACTACTGTTTTATGTTACAAGTAGATAAACCTGTAACGGTACGGTTAATTTACCAAAGTATTCGTGTTACCATACATCTCAAAGATATAGGAAAGTTAACAGATTACACTAAATCACTCAGTGATAGATAACTAATATGTCATGTTTTCCTGTCTCTATTAGAGACTGAACCTTATTGAACAAGTCGCTGTGCACATTGTTTAATCTCCGATGACTAAATACAATCGACAGGTTTTTCCTTAACAAGTGATCTGTTCAAAAAAATTCTAATCCCACTAATTCTTAAAGATTAACACTTCACTGTGTGAATTGTATTAATTCAGTGAATTGAGATATAGAAAAATCTATACATACTAACAACAATCATCTTTATCGTTGTATCCAACAAAAGCCCCTGAAACTACACCAGTTATTTTGCGATATATTCTGGTAGAGTGGTCTACCGACCCTATACACACTTTGAATATAATAAACATTTAATCATATTTACAATCCCGTCGTGAATTTTTATGACGAATCGATACAAACCGCTGTCAACTTATCTCAGCTATACATGTGTGTTTGTTAAGTTATTGGTTACATCATAAGTATTCATATACAACTAAGTTTGACCTTTCATCTATGTACATTCTTGCATACGAATCCTTGTTTATCTCTAGAAATATGCTTCTATAATATCGACTATTCGTACGTTTACTGCTTCAACACTGTTTAGAAGTCGTTTTAATCCCAAAATAACTAATCGAACATAATGTAATTTTAACATGATAAAACCCTTATTTGAGCTTAAGGTAAAACTCCTATTGTCTACGGATAACCAATTTTTTAAAGAAAACAAATTAGATTGTGATTATTCATTAAAAAAAACTGTTTGTTTAAGTGCAAACATCAAAATGTATCTAACTGACTACAGATTGCAGTTCTGACCTACATGTGCAAACTGGTTGGTTAGTGGGGAGGGGGGGGGGGTAAACAACGATTAAAGTCGAGTGAAATAGTACAACAAATCGGTCACATTAGCACAGCTGCATTCACCTTCCAAAATCTCAGTAAAGTTATCTGTTTTGATAATAAATATATTCATAATACGTAAATAAAACATTTAGATTTTTTCTTTGTTTTTTGATCTTTTTTACACTATGATTCATCAATAACAGGGAGTATGTTTAGAAAGTGATCGTTTATTAAAAGTTCCAGGAATTATTGAATTAGCACATTCACATAAACTAGTTGTATTAGCATGGGGTGAAGCTGTAAACATACCGGAAAAACGTATATTACTCACACAATTGGGTGTAGATGGAATTATCTATGATTGGTAAGTTGAATTATTTAGTGGGGTTTTTTTTTGCATATCCATTTTCATTACAACAAATCAAATTGGGTAATCAATTGAATAATAAAAAATTAATTGGTGAAAATGTAAATAACTGAATTATCTCAATCAGTCACTTGTATCAACATAGAACCTCCTACATTCGTATTTAAACATGGAAGATGGTTGTCTCACGTAAGCCAAGAGATTGAAATTTTCTGACACTGCTCAGGACAATAGTCAGTGACTTAATGAACTGATGACATATTTTTGTTTGACCACTCTTGCTTGTTCTAATGTACTACTTAGATGATGAAGTTTCATACCTTAATAACTGATTTACTCTATATACATAACATCATATACGTAACCTCAGGGTTATTCATTTTGTTACTTACTTACTTACGCCTGTATACGTTGTTCTCCATCCAACCCCATCCTGGGCAATCCTTTCTAGCTCCTTCCAGTTGTTATTCATCCTTTTCATATCTGCTTCTATTATCCGACATGATGTGTTCTTTGGCCTTCCTCTCTTCCGTTTCCATTCAGGATTCCAGGTTAGGGCTTGCCTCGTAATGCAGTCTGATGATTTGCGTAATGTATATCCTATCCAACAACTTCATCGTCTTTACCTGATTTCTCTTTAACTGGAAGCTGGTTTGTTCTCTCTCCCCAGAAGGCTGTTTCTGATGGTATCTGGTCAATGGGTGTTGAGTATTTTGCGTAGACAACTATTTCTAAATACTTGTACCTTTTTGATGATGGTTGTAGTAGTTCTCCAAGTTTCAGCTCCGTATAGTAGAACTGTCTGTGTTGACGTTCGTATTGAAGATTATGACTTTGATGTTGGTTGAAAGTTGTTTTGAGTTCCATATGTTCTTAAGTTGCAGAAATGCTGCCCTTGTTTTGCCAATCCTCGCCTTTAATTCTTCATCTGAACCTCCCGTAGAAAAGTAACTCGCTAAAAAAACGCTAACCAGAAAAAATAAGAATTCATTTCGTAGTTCTATTTTATGGAAGCAGTTAGTGCATACCTCCGTGACATAACTTGGAATCTGTCATAATGGTGGTAGATATATTCTCACTTCACCCACATCTGGATCTTTTGCAGATTATTTATATATACCTTTAAGTTACATTTGTTCAAATTATGTCGACTTTTTTTTTAAATTCATCTTATCATGTTAATGCGGTATGATAACTCGAGCGAACACACATTTATACCAGGCTCATATGTTGACTATGTATGATAAATTAACTGAATGTTTAATCATTAAATTCTTAATGAATGATTGATTATCCATATGGCATCAACAGTTTTCAGTTACTAGATATTGGTTGTCGGTGTATACATTCTTTGTCTTCCCTTAAACTAAGAGATTAAAATCGCTTCATATATTCATTCTACCAACTAATTCTTTCTTTCTGTACTATATCCTTATTACAATCTTTCTCTTATACATTACCATCATTGAATTAACTACTTCTATGAATTTGGTGTTCATGTTGTTTTGCTAATGAGGTATGGCAACTTGCACCGATGTATATATGTGCCTGGTCTTAAATTGTAGCTGACTGACAGATATTGGTTGTTTGGTTAATAATAATATTTGTTTGAAATTAATTAAATATAAACTAAAATAACTTCCCTTTTTAATATCTTTTCTTTATTTAGTGTAAATGAAAATAAAGCTAAAGGTACATTAAGTGTATTTAAACGTGAACGATTCCTTGAACTTGGATTATCATCAGCATCAACACCATCATCACCTACAGAAACAACAAAACTAGTACCATGTTTATCATCATTATCATTAATTGATAATCATGACAATATCAATCATATTAGTTTTAATAATAATAATAATGATTTAAACAGAAATATTTCAAATTCTCAAGGTAATTTAGCTTTAGATCAACATTGTAACATTACAGATCGGCTAATTTTATCTACCCAATCTACTACTGAGAAACTATCAACAATAGTAACTGATTGTCACACTAATATGTGCTTCAGTTCAACATCATCAGCTTCAATGACCAACAATGGTGTTGATAATAATAATGATAACAATAACAGTAGTATTGTATCCTTAGTGAATGTTAAATCAAATGAACAAGTAGTAGGTCCAGTAGAAAATTGTACAAATCCAACATTACAAACAACACCTATTAATACTATTCCGTTAGATAATAATGACAGTATTCATAACGAGTTGTCATCACCGACTTCAGATACATCATCACAACAACAAGAGCCAACATCACCACCAAAACAACAAATTAATGTACCACTTATAACATTCGCTTAAATATAAAATTCAACTCAAGAATACTAACTACTGATATTAGTCAGAGTAATAATAATGATATTGACGGTAACATTCATTGTCACCGTTCCATTAAACAAAACAAAGAAACATTTTAAAAATGTGTATACTTTTCTTTAGTTTATTTCCTCTACTAAGTAAAACATACTTGAGCATTGTGTTTCATTATTCTGGTTGATTAATTAATTACTTCACATCATTAATGATTGTTTCAACCGTTTTGCTTGTCGCACATATATATAACACGGATATAAATTCACATTTCTCCCTCCTTTTGTTCTTTCAATGTCATCCCTTAACAGTTTTCTTCACTAATGTATTTCATAATATATATATATATATATATATATATATATATATATATATATATATATATATATATATATATATATATATATATTGCACTGATAATGATAGTGATGGTCAGATGCATTTTAAGACGGTTTAGCTTTTATTAGTCTGTATAACATAATATTTTATTGATGAATGTTTACATTCAATATGTACATAGAGATTTGTACTCGCCTAAATATGAAAGAAAACAGAACCGACTACAATATGACCTATTACTTTCTAATGAAAAGATCTTAGCGTTGTTGTTGTTTGTTTTCTCAGCTTTGTGTTTTTCAATTCTTATTTCCATATCTTATTATTTTTATTTCACTATAATAGTTACAGCAAAATGAAATAGTACGTATGAATAATGCAGAAAGATAATTAATTTTGTATTTTATCAAAGCTTATTTCTGCTTGATTAGTTTATTCATTTTGTTATTTGGTAAAATTTACATAATAAAATATCAGTGACATTGTTGTTAATTGTCCCGACCGTTGTTGCTACCTTGACATGGTGGTCGGGCTTGCCTATCGTGATGAAGCAACCAAGCTATACTGGCTGGAACAACCGTTCCTCAAGGTCCTACCATGTCAAACAGGTCGGTTGAAGAGCGGTAAGACTAAAAGCAACAAACCCAAGGTTCGAAGGCGAAGTCGTACTGCTGACTGTACACAGGTGTGACAGCAGTAAGGTGTTTCCTTCAGACAACCAGCATGACAGCGATGCTGCCCTCCCACAAGGAGGGATGGGGTTAGAAAAGGTCGACCCTAAAAATGCACACCTCACCTTATACCACGGATATCCGTCTCCGGCGGTAAGGTCTCAATAAGTATGGAGCTAACACAAAAATTACCCATAAAAAGGTCGTGTGTGATCGACCTTGAGCAGTTGTCCCTTGGGCACTGCGGTCACGCTCTCAGGTCACTAAGACCATCTGTAATCCAGTTTCATTTTCACGTACCTCCAGAACAACCCTTCCACGGTGTGGGCAACCGGGAAGTGATAACCGCCCTCATACATCTAACAGCACTCAAGACTACTGTATTCATAATCAACCTTCCTCTTCAATTCCTCCTACATCGACTTTCAACCCTAAACTTCCTCCTTCGGCTTCTTCCTCAAGTGTCACCATAGCCAACGATTCTAGTGCTCAAAACTCTGTCCCAGGTCTACTGAAACCTCGCTCCAGACTACACATTGGAGCCTTCAACGTACGCATCCTATGTCAAATCGGTCAGCAGGCTTCTCTGGTTAGAACCCTAGAGTCTCTTACCATTGATGTGTGCTGTGTCTCCGAAACACGCATACAGGATTCCAGTGTGGTCATTCACTTGACCTCACCTCGGCAAAACGGAGAGCCAACGAGATACACCCTCCGTGTATCTGGTGACCCGATGGCCAGTTCTCGTGGACTGGCAGGTGTAGGCATAGCACTAAGCATGAGGGCTGAACAAACACTGTTAGAGTGGATCCCCGTCAACAGTCGTCTATGTGCTGTTCGGCTAAACGGCTCCGTAAGAACTCGGTAGGATAGGGACACACGTCGTTGCCTTTTTGTCGTTTCTGCCTACGCTCCCACCGACTGTAGCTGAGATGAAATGAAAGATGGATTTTACAGAAAGCTATCTGAACTTCTTCAGAAAGTTAAACGTTCAGACATAGTACACGTAGCAGGTGACTTTAATGCTCAGATAGGTAGTTTAAACCAAAGAGAAAGGCATTTAGGTGGGTATTTTAGTATTCCGACACAATGAACAGAAAATGGTGATCGTCTGCTGCAACTATGCTCAGACAATCGTTTATTTTTAGCAAACACAAATTTTAAGCATAAAGAAAGACATCGTCTAACATGGCGGCCCCCTACACCAAACCAACGATGGACTCAAATAGACCATATTGCCATCAGTCATCGTTGGAGAGGGTCGGTAGAAGATTGTCGCTCATTCTGTAGTACCTGCTTGGACTCCGACCACACCCTAATACGGGCGCGCATCTGCTTGCGCCTCACTGGATGCAAAAAAGCCACATTGAAAAGACCCGTTAGAACTGAGTTGAGTAACGAGAAAACCAAAAGTAGGTTCCAGGAATAACTGAGCTCACACTTAGGTAGTTCTGAAGACGACGCTGACCCAGATGTTGCTTGGAAAGATATAAAAGTAGCTGTGGAAACAGCAGTGACATCTATGAGTGGTTTAAACCACGGGGTTACAAAGAACCAATGGATTCCTTCAAGATCTTATGCACTGATGGATTCTCGTAAACTCATCCTATCAGGTTCCGAACATGATGAAGAGCGACAACAAATCAGATCTAGGTTAAGCAAAAGTTTAAGAAACGGCCGTGAGCAGTGATGGGCAACGAAAGCAAAAGAGATGGAAAAGGCTGCGACTACAGTGAACACAAGACAGCTTTACAAAGTAATAAAAGAAACTGGAATTAATAAGTGTAAGTGAGATTATTTCGGAAAAAGACGACACCCAGTTCAGACATTCAGAACGATGGGCGGGACATTTCAGAGAACAGTTCAACTGGCCTTCAGCTACTCTAAAACTACCCTCCATTTCCAGACAGCGTGAATGGAACATTGAAGTAGGTCCCCCAACTCTTGCTGAAGTTCAAAAGGCTATAGTTAATCTGAAACGAGGAAGGGCAGCCGGTCCAGATGGATTGGCTCCAGAGGTCTTTAAGGATGATGGTCCAATTTTAGCGGTTAGGTTGACTAATATTTTAGCTAAGATCTGGGAGTTAGACGTTATCCCATCTGACTGGTCGCAATCACTTATCGTCCCAATATATAAGGGTCAAAATCATCCTGTGACAACCACAGAGGGATTAGTTTAACAAATATAGTATCTAAAATACTAGCCTCAATAATAATCAGACGCCTAAGACTCGTGAACTGCAAACACGAGAATCAAGCTGGCTTCACAACTGGTCGTGGCTGCATCGACCACATATTCACCATTCGTCAGGTTCTAGAACACAGGCATACTTATCGGCGTCCGACGATGGTGGTCTTTCTTGACTTAAAAGCAGCATTTGACTCGGTAGACCGCGAGGTTCTGTGGCAGTGTCTGTCATTGAAAGGCGTACCTCAGAAGTACATAAACCTTGTAAAGGCTCTTTACTCGAACACTACTAGTCGAATCAGAGCTTATGGCGAACTGTCATCTACTTTTGCAAACTCAAGTGGTGACCGTCAAGGATGTCCACTTTCCCCATTTTTGTTTAACTTCATCACAGACCTATTGATGGAAATAACACTTTCGTCGACTGAATTATCGGGTATTGATCTCCTACCAGGAGGTCCATTTATCGACTTAGAATACGCAGATGACATAGTCCTGTTTGGTAAAGACGCTGATAGAATGCAGTCTTTTGGTAGCACTGAGCAACAATACCAGAATGTTTGGAATGCGCTTCTCTCCCTCTAAATGCAAGTTGTTGCTTCAGGACTGGTCTGCGTCAACACCTGAACCAAGGATAGGGAGTGAAGTAGTCGAACGCGTTGACAACTTCACTTATCTTGAGAGTCTGATCACCGCAAATGGGTTGGTATCGGACGAAATCTCAGCACGAATTCGAAAAGCTCGTTTGGCTTTTGCCAACTTACGTCACCCATGGCGAAGGCAAGATATCCATCTATCAATAAAAGGACGAGTATACTGTGCGGCAGTTCGTTCTGCTCTATTTTACGGCCACGAAACATGGCCATTAAGAGTAGAAGACATTCGTAAGCTACTAGTATTTGACCACAGATGCCTTAGAAATATTGCTGGCGTCTTCTGGGATCATCGGGCAAGTAATAGTGAGGTTCGACGCAGGGTATTAGGGAGTGATGGTAAACCAGTTAATGAGGTTGTGAATATTCATCGACTGAGATGGTTGGAAGAAAGTTAGGGGCGGCCAAACCAGAACGTGGCATCAGTGCTTGAAGTCACTAACTTCTAGTCTGAGCCATGTTGGTAGATGCAGACTACTTGGTTGGGGTCCGCGTGACTATCGTAGCCAATGGTCGGAGATTCTGGGTGACATGGCTCAGAATCGATTACAATGGCGTCGGTGTATACACTCTTTGTCTTCCCTTAAACTAGAAGATTAAAATCACTTCATATCTTTCTACTAATTCTTTCTTAAATAGAGCTCTATTTAAGATAATAAAGGGAACTATGTGTATGATAATTCTTTCTTCCTATACTATATCCTTATTGCACCTCTGAATTAACTACTTTTATGAATCCAGTGTCCATCTTGTTGTGTTAATGAGGTATGGCAACTTGGACCGATGCATATATGCGCCTGGTCCTGCGTTGTAGCTGACTGACTGTTGTTAATTGTTCATCTATAATGTGACTATTTACACTTTGATGAATTGAATCTCATGTGAGAACATGTAGAAAAAAGAAATTGCTTACAAGCTTGATTTCTATTGTATTAATGGTAAGAAACTAGTAATTATTAGAAGAAAAAACTTCCTATTGGTCTGAATCAATGAATAAAAACAATGGTGACTTTAAATGAGATTTCCGTTTTTAATGGTAGATGATTACATTAGTTCCCAAATGCCTTGGTAAAGCAAAGAGAGTGGGGAGAGTCAGCTCTCCCTTTCCAAATGCTCTCACATGGCCACGTGCATACAACCACGGACAGGGAAGTCCTACTCACTGCCCTCTTGCGGCGAAGGTGTTGTTTACGAAATTGAGAGGATGGAAAGAGAATGTCCGACGCTTTTAACCGGGTTGGTGAATATGGAGGATCCATCTAAGGGGATTGGAAAACCCTGATTCTAAATCAATGGTGCACATGGGCTCCAGTATCCTGAGGGAACAAATGGCATATGAACCTATTGTTGGTCGCCAGCTGCCATGGGACTGAATCTCCTGACGTTGCTCCACTGCATTGTAGATCATACCTTTAGGTCAAGGGCTGTAGGTGTGACCCCTACGAAAACCACCTGCTTCGGTTTGGGCACCCAGGCAGTATCCCAGCCCTCACACAAATTGTTTATGTTTAAATAAATAACTAAATAAAATAAAGATTATATTTCACAACATCAACTTCAGTCAGTCAGTCAGTCAGCTACAACGTAGAACCATGCACTTATGTGCATCGGTCCAGGTTGCCATACCGCATCAGCACAACAAGATGAACACCGGATTCATAACAGTGGTTAGGTAAAAGGTGGTAATATATAAGAGAAAGATTGCATATAGAGATATAGTACAAGAAGAAAGAATTGGTTAGTAGAAAGAAAGATATGAAGCGCTTTTAATCTCTTCAGGTAAAATTAGTTTTAAATCACCTAAGATAACATAAAATCTCCTCGCAATAGTATTAATATTGATTAGTACAATAAGCTTCATGATACGACTGTGTACTTTTAGTTACCTAATAGCAAAGGAGTAATAAGAACTCGAATGCCTTTCCAGAATTCAAGTGTAATAGAACTTTAATTGTTTAGATTTAAAGAATTATAATAACAAAGTTACATGGATGTAGACGACTTGACATAATTAAGGAAGATCACAATTGTGTGTCTTTTCCAAACATCTTATTATATTCAGATTTAACTGTGGCTGAATTGAACTTACCACTGGTTGGTCGACTAAAGGATCACAAGCGACTTATCATACTAGTAGTGGTGGGGTCAAAATTCTACAACTTGCAAATTGTAAATACAGGATCACATGTGGTATTAAGTATAGCACTTTATGAACTATGCATTACTTTTATTGATATGACAAACTTTTATTAACAGTTTAACTTAAATCACATGAGACTGTAGAAGTTTTTTATAATAAATCTACTAAGTTATGACCAGTTTTAATCTACCTAGCACACTAGTTTAGCAGGTAAGAACACTAAGATATGTATGAGTTGCTTAAAGGAATCCCATTATAGACAAGAGATTCCGACTTTCTGCCACTCAGTTACCTGAACTGAACTTTCATTAGACTGAGAACGAAGAATGCTTTAAAAAATAAGAGAACATCGGTTCAAATTTATTTATAAAACAATATATCAGAATTACAGGATGGATACGAGGGAATACTTATGGTCTAGGAGCAGCTGCAGCAGTAGCCAAAGGGTTGCGAAGAACAAGAATAACGGAATCGCCACGTAAAAACAATTTACTGATGAATCTATCCTTGTTTACCGGTTTGGACTTCTTTTTACCTTTACCTGGTCGAGGCACTTCAGTCCACATTTCTTTGACATTTTCTAATACCATATTGCAATGCCTGTCGAATGCTTTTACTCGAGCTAAGAGTTTTTTATTGTTTCGGCAATTGATTAGTACCTATATAAATATAAATAGATTCACATATTATGACTACTCTTTGGTACTTATTCATAGTGACTTATTAAGAAAGTCCGGTATAAACAAAAAAAGCTTACGATTGTTAGTGCACCTACATCGAACAATAAAACACCACTTGTTTGTAATGTTAGTCGCACACTATTCATTAGTTATCTTATGTTTGTTTGTCAAGCGGTTGAAATTTTTAAAATTTAAATTATCAACAAACACATTATCTCCAATTATTTAATACACAGTACAATGCGCACCGGGTTCCAAATACGGTACACTTTGATAGGTACTAAGTATGCCTCAAAAGTTATTTTCACTATCTGAACGTCATCGCTTATAAACACCGGGAATAATTGCATTTTCACTTTAAGACCATGATAAAAGTTTAGCGACAGATCACCACAGCAATTAAACATATCGACATTTTCGAAAATTGCCAATAATCTCTTTTTTCTCTTATTACCTCTACCATTACGGGATTTGAATCGACCATGGCATCTGTGCTAATGTGGTGTGGCAACTCGAACTGATGTACGTACGTACGAAGTTCTACGTTGTTACTGACTGACTGACTGAATCTGAAAATTCTGTAAACATGGGATAATAACGGTGTACTCAATGATCACGTCCAGGTTAGTGTCTCTGACCATAAATGACATGTTACGAAGTATTGTGTTACTAATGGGTTGTTAGAATCTGCACAGCTGTAGCAGTATCCAACTGTGATCGTGAGAATTGAGTGTTCAATTGTTGAGCGATATAGTTCGATAATAAAGTCAAATATAGATTCGAGTATATCTTTATCACGCAACAGTAATTCGTATCTACTATGATGAGGTTTGATAATACTGAAACTTATGTAATTTTCAGGTAATAATTTTACTTCAGACTGAAGAAAACCTGGATGAAAATACAATTAAGTACTGCTTTACATGATGCTGTCAGACTGAAACCAATCCTATTTCATTCACATGATTTAAAATAAAGCTATGGAATGTAAAACAACAATAACGAGTCGTTACAGCTACAAATCCTGCTGGTGGCAACCTGATGATGTAGTATGTAGTACGCGATCCGGAATATGAATTATCCTTGATTTTAGTGAGGAGTGATGACTTGGACCAATTCAGGGTGCAATGTAAATACATGTTTCTGTCTCAAAGATATAGCACACTTGCACATTCTTGTCGAGGTTTTTTGGATGACTAGTTTAAAGAAGGGTCGGAACAAACGGTTAGACAGAAAATGTTACTTCATTCTAGTCGAAAAAAAAGTTAGTAGTTGAGCCTTCAAGTGTTACCCTGGGACAGACCACCAACACAACACTTACGACCTACAGTGACCTAAAAGTTTGTCTCTAGGGAAAAAAAATCAAAGTCTACAATTTGGCCTAAGAAACATAACGAGGGTTTATTTCTGTACGCAGCTATTCTTACTATTAGTGATACTTCCACCATTTCTACTACTTTGATATCCGTTTTGAAAATCTCACTTAGCTGTTCTAGTGCAGTGTGATATTCTTAATCGATCTACATGTGCTAGGTTTCATGTTAAATAAAGCTGACTGACCACATCCACGACCATCGCCACTTCTAAAATGTCAGCACAAAGACCAAGAATTCGGATTAATGACAAGGCTATGAAGTATGGACGAAACAACAGGTCTTGAATTTTTGAGCAAAATTTATTCACTCACCTAATATCATTTTGACACTGGCTGATGTCAGCTCGTGACGAAAACGTTAAATTTTATCCCTAACGTCCAACTGTAAATCCTAATTCCTTACATAAATCAGTAATCCTCATTTATCCCTAGTAGGTAGGTAGACACTCAAAGGTTATTTTAGTGCTGTACAAGGATTGTTCATAAATTATGGACGCACTGATTGCTTGTAATTAGCTGATTAGTTAATTCGGGTTGCTACCGCAAGCGTTAGTGGTAAAATAACAGACTTCAGGAAACTGCCACAAACGTTATGGTGTTGGGAATATAAAGCTGACCCTACTAATAATGACTGAGAATGAAATAATAGCCTTTAAAAATCTCTTTGTTTCAGACCACGTCTGCGATTCTCCACGCTGACTGAAGCTTGTTATAGTACTTTGCAAGTTATAGGATGGAATAGAATATCTGAAGAATAGCTTTTTTACTCTGGATGGATAATTCTAGCTATTCTTTAGAGACTAACAGAGAAAACATTTCCTACGAGGTTCGCCAGCACAAAGATTAGTCGTTTTTGTAACGGAAATAATGGACAATGAAACGCGAACGTCCTCTGTTAAATAAAGGATTCGATATTCACTAATACTTGAAAATTTAGGTCAAAAATATGCTGGTGACTAAATGAATTATCAACTTAATAGAAAAATACCTTACCTGGGTATTGTTCTTAACTGCATTTGTCAGCACAGAAAGAGGACCAGTTTCAAACTCTTGTTTCTCTATCTCATAAAGTTCTTCCTCTGTTAAGTTGGTACGCGGTTTTGCACTCGACTTCGCCATTTCGTGGTAAATGAATTACACTTGTTAACAGCGCCGAAGCTTGGAGAGCGTTATTTGAATTAGATCAATATACAATGCAATTTCGCCGTTACAATCTAGTTTAACTTGGTTCATTTATTATTACGTGACTTCTTGTGCTAAGGAAAGGTTCATAGTTATCTTTGCCATTTAATAAAACAATTTAAGGCACTTGGCTGCATCAGATTGTTTTTATTGTAGCGCCATTACTTAAGGATAAGTACTTCATTGTTCCTTTGGAATATATTTGAAGAAAAGGCGCTTAAAGGTTCTTGAACCAAAAGTAAGGTTCACAATAGTTTTTCTAAAGGTTCCAAAATCGCTGCATGTGAAGTACAGAAAGATTAGAGAGATATGATTGTGACTTGCCATATCCCTATCCGCATGTACGTATATGTGGAAACCAGTTGACTGACTGTACATGTAGCAACAGATTTTCGACCTGCCTAATATTCATCAGTTACCATTTTTCAGTGGTGTTCCTGTCTACTTTTTAGAAATGGGATTACGCTCCCTGTTTGTAATGAATGTATGTTGGTAACAAATTTGAATGGCCCACTTCAGAGCAAGTTTAAGGGCACCACACATTGGGGGTAGAACTACATTTCTAGTTTAGATATAACACTTCGAATGTACAAAGTCGAAGCACAGGTTACTGGCTGAATAAATTAGTGGAAGAACTATTAGTATTGTTGTTGTCAACGCAAAATCATATATCAATATAAATTTTAATAATTAACTGTGTAACTGAGGAATATTAAGTTCATAACAAACCGCTAGCATTCTAGGATACCTGTGTCTTACCGTGAATAATTGCGGTTAATACTGGTCAACAAATTTTAAATTTTCAAACGTTTCAGATGATTTCGGATGAAAGAGATTTTACTTGAAGAGCTTCAAAATCTAGTAACCGTGCATGACCCACATGCCGATGATGTTAAACTTTGAAGAGAGAGATATACAAACAAGAAGATATACTGGCACTTCAGGAGGATCTGAATCGACTCCAAAGTTGGGCAGATAATAATGGACTTACTTTAAACACTTCAAAGTGTAAAGTAGTCCATCTGGGAAATGTTACAGACAATAGTTACAACTCAAGAAACTCCACTGTAGAAGTATCCCAAGTTGAGAAAGATTCAGGAATGTTGGTGCCCTACAACTTGAAGTCCTACGCTATCTGTGACAAAAATGCCTTCCGAGCAAACCTTGCACTGGTAACATTGAAACGAATTTTTTACCAGTTTGACGGAAGAATTTTCCACACAACCTTCAACAGCTTCATTCGTCCCCATTGAGAGTACAGAAGAATAGTATTTCCTCCCTCACTCTAAAAGGATAAGGACACTCTGGAGCGTATCCAACGGCGAGCCACAAAATGAGTTCTGGGACTCAAATTCAAGCCTTATGAAGAGCGCCTCCGATCACTAAACCTTTACCCATTAGAGTACAGGCGTCCTAGACGTGACGTTCTAATGGTTTACAGTATCCTTAACGCTTCTGAAAATCCTTTTAAACACCTACTTAAGTTTAGTCCCAATACAAACCTAAGGGGTGACACCCAGATATTGGAGATACAACATAGCAGTACGGACTGTAGACACAACTTCTACTCCTTAAGAGTAGTTGAATACAGGAATTCGCTGCCGGCTGAGCTAGTCCAAGTGACCTCTCATGAGTTTTTTTTAAGAGAAAGCTTGATACATTATTAAGGACCAAGGATAATATCTTACTATGATTGACCGATTTCTTTTTTCTCTATTATCGTTAATATACCTAAGTTCCTGGCTGAAGATATTGATGATCCACTGCTACCAGACACGGAAGTCCATTCAGCGAAAGCTTCTTCTATCCCGTCCACAATCATTTGAACCATTTTAACCGACAAGCAAAGAAGAAATATTACTATATTATAGAACAAATCAAATTTTTCCCTTAAAGGACTGTTGGAACGTTGCTTAAACCACTTCAGCCGGCAGAAATCTCCGGGACTTGGATAATCGCAAAAAATAGGCGTGTTTACAATCGAAGTTGTTACGTTGCACATGTAATATCGAAGTGTCGCCCCTGGAATTTGTATTGAGGCTGAGCTTAAGTAAATATTTAAGAGGGGATGCCTAAGATTGTTCAAGATCATATAGGAGAGTCATTAAACGATAATATTCGAGGCATCTGTATTCTAATTTGTAGGGATATATAGATCAAAGTAGCTCCTCACGAGGTTTGGATTCGACCTCTGAAACTCACTTTGTAGCTCCCCTTTAGACGTGTCGGTGTATTTTTATCATTTGGTAGGGAATAAGGCAGAGCTATATTTCCGTAGGGTTGAAAGAAACTTAAAAATTAGGTAGAAAGTCCTACTTTCAAACCTGACAATAACGCTTCTCAACATTATCACTGCAAAATTTTCTCAACAAGTATTTTTGTCATTATTTGCATCAAACATCGGATCATAGAATAGCGGGTTTCCCAAATCTTACTCAAATTCGGACATCTCTAAATGGGGAATTGCCTGAATTGTATGTGTTGTTTCTAGCATCCCTAAGCAGTACGACTTTACTTCAAAGTGTTGAAGACGACTGCATTGTTATACGGCCAATCTTGTAGTCACATCAGATAGTTCTGTTGTTTCAGATTACCATTCTGGCTCGAGATTTCTCTATAAAGATCAAGATCTTCAGCGGGCTGCGATAACTAAAGTGATATTTATTTAAGATAATCTATGTAACTGAAAAAGAAAAGGGATCTAAGAACTGGCGCTCTTTTAAAAAAGGGCAGTGATTTTTGTACTTGTTGTGATTATCCTTGCTTTGTGTACTTGTTGCACCATAAAGAATCCTTGGTCTACTTTAACTAAACGTACTTTGTTTAAGGGTTGAAATTTATGCCAAACTTTGTCCTGTGGTACCTGTTTTTTACTCATTGACTTACACTCGTGTTCACATTGTGATCATATTGTGTTTTAAACCTTTTCAGTCAAATTGCAATAGTTAGTAAAACTTATAAATGTGGAAAACCAAACCGCTTGTTTCCCGTTGAGGAAGGAATGCATTGTGATGAATGTAAAAAGTGATACCATAAGATGTGTACACGTCTAAGTCTCACGGCATATAAAAGATGCTCGAAGCCTAACTAGCATTGGCTTTGCACGTTTTGCTGTACAAATAAGAAGTTACTAACTCAGGAGGCTATCAGCCTATTGACTTTGGCGGTTGCAATTATAACACGAGCACTGACGGTGAAGAATGTGTCGGTGTAGTACGTGCTGCTACCGAACCCGCTAAACACCCGACTGTGACTGATGGGAAAGTGAAATCTCCGTTAACATTAACGAGAAGTGAGGTGCCACTTGTTATTGACATCTGTAATCATAAACCTCTAGTGGAAATTGAAGACCCGGATAAAACTGTCACAGCTCTAAGCAGTCCCGACGTGGCTGTCCTGAGTGATGATGACTGAACTTCAGTACGGAGAAAAATAAATAAGAAGAAAGCTGTAGACAAAACGCAGCTGGATAGCAAGCCATTGCAAGAGACCGTATCAGAAACAAAAGCCCCACTGCGTGTCAAGACAGATCTCTCTGAGATGTCAGTCATTTTTCATAAGTTAAGAGAATCTTCCGATTGAGAACAAAACGCTAGATTTGAACACGATTTCAGTAATATTAAGCTCTTAATAAGCACACTTCTCCCAGATACAGTTTCAGGAGTTAGTATTTATAAGCTTTATAGAATAGGACAAAAGGTGGATTCTGAAAGTCCTCAGAAAAACCGCCTCTTGAAGGTCACATCTGCCACGGTTGAAGAAAAAAACCTGATTCCAGGTAGCTCACGTAAACTGATTGGATCCGGAGTATATGTTCACGAGAATCTCAGCCTATCTCATCGTATTAAGAGACGAGCAGCAGAAGTGGAAATAAATAAACGTTGCCGAAACAGTGGAAGAAACCTAGAACTTAAGAGTTTTCAAATTGTAAACGTTCGAAGCAAAACGATAACCAAACCACTCTGGGTGGTAAGGGAAAGTTCTCCACAGACTTAAAGGTATGCTACACAAATGCTCGCAGCATACTAAATAAAATGACCAAGCTCAAGTCAGTGGTGGATAAAGAAGAGTCGGACGTCATTGCTATCTCAGAAATTTGGTTAACGTCAGAAATATTAGATGATAAAATTCACTTGACTATTTTTTTTCCAGTACGGCCGATAGAATAAACAGTAGGGGAGGCTGGGTTGTCCTGTACACGAAAAGTACCCTAATCATAAGAGCAGCTGAGACAGTGACACATGATTCAGGGACATGTAAACTGGTGCGATGTAAGCCGAAATGTAGACGGCAAGATATTGAATTAGTTGTAGTATATCGCAGTCTACAATATGTTGTAGATTACTTCCTCCTAAGCAAATTTAAGTCCTGGTGTAACAAGGGTAAAGCCTTTGTAGTAGACGACTTTAATGCACCGTATGTAAACTGAGTAAACTTAAAAGTAGGGTCATTGACAATGTTACATTCAAACCAAGGTTTGGACCGAAGAATAACTGTCCAGGTGGGTTTGATACGCGCCCTTGCTCGGTTGAAACCATAACAAGATGATTGGGTAAAATGACGTTTCTGAAATTCATTATAAATTTAAATGTACGTTATCACTTATACAAATATGACTACCCAGATATTCAGCCAATAATTGTTCAATTAATTAAATCTAAATAACAAAAAAGGAAGTTGATAAAGGATGCGAGAAAATTACCACTCGCAACAAATAAATGATATTCTATCCTGACTGGATAGATCACGAACAGATTCGTCCAAAATGTGATATTTGGTTGCAGTTTAGCACAGTGTTCCCAATTATGGAAGAATGCTTCAATTCATAATCAAAAATGCACGATTCCAGTCATTTCAAGCAACACAATCAAGGAGAAGAACAAACCAATATGGCTGCCTCTAAGACTAAGTATCAAGTCAAACAACATAAATGCAGTTCAGTAAGAAATTGGTGAAGGAGTAGGAAAGATAAAAACTACAATAAAATACAAATATTACCAACTAAAATTGAATCAAAAAGACCAACAAAATGTACAACTAAAGGAATCAATAG